TCATCATATCTCCTATAAGAGTTCACACATTGTATTACGGTGAATATTGAGAAATATGCAAACCTTAATCATGTCTATTGTCTTCTACGTTTTGATACCACAATCCAACAACTCTGTCGCCGGCTCGCCTCTCCAGTCTCCACTATTCTCCCCCTATCGGTCTGTCGTTGGCTCGTCGCCCCGCCGGTCTCCCTCTATCTGTCTGTCGTTGGCTCGTTGCCCCTCCGATCTCCCTCTATCTCTCTATCTCTGGCTCGCCTCGTAGGCCTCGCTGCTTTGTCGTCGTCGTTGCAGCTGCTCCTTGCACTGTAGTTTGTCGACCGCCGTCCATCGCCTCGCCGCCGCCGCTAGGGTTTTTAGGCTGGAGTTGGAAGATGAGGTTTTGCACCTCAATCACTGAAACAATATTGAAAATTGAATAAGAGGAACAACAATAAAATTCAACAATCACACGCAAGAATACACACTTCCGGCAATCCCACCCAATTCACGGACATCACATCGTACAGTCACCGAATCGCACGACGCCCCAGATTTTGCGGTTGTTTGAACGGCCCCAAAAGAAAGAACGTGAGTGTAGCAGCACCAACAACACTGACAATATGAAATGACCAACATCCAAAAGCAGTCAAAATTAATTCAGTCAACCCAAATTTGTAACTGTGATAAAAACGACGTCGTTTCGACATTAGAATTTAAAAAAAGGGAAAATACATACCGAGCTGTGAGATGGACGAAATGAGACACGTGTCAAGAGCAGAAATAGCCCCACTTCTCCATATATAGGTAAGATAGAGAGAAGTGCCCATTTAAGTAACAATAAAAATACTCTATGGCAAAGTTGTAATTAGTAGAAAATATGAAGGACATTTTGGTCCACAAAAGGACACGTGTCAACTTTTGAGCACCACCAAAATGGACACGTATCGCCATTTGAAGAGGTCTAACTCTCCCATATAAGATATAAGAGAGATATAATATATATATATGTATAGATTTACACCCCTTACACATTCTTTGTTAAATAATATTATTAATATCAATACGAAATCGTTAACTTGTAATCAGGAATACAAAATTTTTATTTCAGCAGTTTTGTAAAAGATCACACAATAAATTGATGATATTTTCCTGCATGATTCTCGAGGAATCTTCCTTCCATACAAAAAAAAAAA